CCAGCAGCTGCAGTGAGCGGCCGTCCAGAAGCTGGTGACTGATCTGCCTCACCTGGAAAGAGCGCAATGATGATGCCAACTTGGGCCAGTGAAGCAACGTCCTCCATAACTAGATTGAAGAACAAAAGGACAGCAACTTGTCTGTTCCCCTTCCCCCAATTCCCCAGCATTGTTCCTATCCCCCCAATTCCCCAATAAAAAAATCTTAAAAAACAAAACAAAACATCTTTCACCAGACAGCCAAAGGTAACGGCAGGATGGGAGGCAGTGAGAATCAATATAGTAAGAGTATTTTTAGGGACTATTGATGGATTGCTGTATTTTGAGCTTAACGGGAAGTGGCGAATGCCCCAGAGCTGACTAAGATGAACTCACCATTTACTGAGAGCTCTGTCGGCCGTCGGGCAGCCATCACGCGCACGGAGGTTCTGGGATCGCCGAGACGAGACATACACATCTTACCCTTGGTGGTTTTGGGGGGAAGTCCTGTGGTTGTTGGAAGTAGCCTCCTGTGGTATTGCGATGAGGACTTTGTGCCACTCTCCTTGCTGGAGCAGAGTGATACCCAGTTAATGATCTCCCCGGTCCTGGTGACCGTAACTGAGACTGTAGGACGTTGTACAGCAGCCAATCAATTAGTTCTCCGTATCGGGGGATCGGGTACACCGAGGCACTAACGACTCCACGGCCTCTCAGAAGGCAGCTCCGCAGAAGGTGAGAGCCGTGTACACCGTGCTGCTGTCAGCAAGCTGAAAGCTGTGGGTCTCCGACGCCTCTCAATTGCTAGCAGGTTTCTCTCATGCACCTCATTTGCATCTGGGACATCAATTAGCATGTTTGTTGAGGCTAATTGAATGAAACTCAATCATAGCTCTTAATTGCTTGACTATGTGAAAAGAAATCACATTAATGCAGCTAATTAAGTGTACGGCAATAGATGCAACATAATTAGGAGCGAAATGTAAAAAACAAGGGACGCGACGGTGGAGGAGCCCGGGTGGCAGGGGGACGCGCGGCCCGGCGGCGGACCTATCCACGCGCGCGGGGCGGGTCCCTTTGCTCTGGCGCCTGCTTGTGAAAAATAATCCGCACGACGAACACGGACAACTTGAGAAGGAAAATGCAAATCGGTTTGCAATTACTACTTTTTCAAGCTGGTGAGGGGCAGGGGATGGCACCTCTGGGGGGGGGGCCGGCTCTTGAGTGGGCCCCAGGGACTTGTTAAGTGCTGTTTAAAAGTACTTGGCTTTGAATTACCCTCATGCCTTGTTAAAGGATGTCTTCCCCTTTTATCTTCTATCAGCGTTTTCTACAAGGAACCGGGAGAAGGGTAGTGTCTGTGACATTTGCATATCAAAATCAAGCGTGCTGCCTTTATTTTACCCAGGGAGGCCCTGTCTCAGGCCCACCGGGCTGCAACATCTCACTTCTGAGGAGGCCATGTTGTTTAGTGGTTGTAGCTTTAATTCCTCCCGTGCCAGGCAGGCGAGACATGAAAAGGATGAGATCTTTCAAAAACAGAAAACGCAGCGTCCTTTCTCCGCGGAGAAGCTGGAAGCCTTGGACTCGTGTGTCTGCATTCTGTTTGTTCCCGAAGCACCGCCTGGACGTGCACTTGGTGAAGTTTTAAAAAATTGTAGTGGCTTGACATTTAAAACTTGCCAAATTTATATTCTGATCTTTTGAGAACTAGGTCTGGTGAAACTTCAGCGCCTAAATAACTCCGGCAAGAGAACAGCTCAATCCCCGGCCCATGCTGGGCCGGGGAGAAATGGGAACCCCGGTGCGTTCAAACCCAAAGCACAGACACTGGGTAGATTTCTGTCACAATTTTAAATGAAATGTCCTGGTTATTGTATGTTAAAACATCCCATTAGAGGAGCCCACGCTGAGGTTTAGTCACTATCTGATTAGCCTCATTTTAGAGCCCATAAGCAATAAATGCTCAATTACACTCCTGTTATTGTATTTTAATTTGTTAAGAATTGGCATTAACGAAGAAAGTTATAGCAAGTTGATATTTTTAAAGGAGTAACTATCCAAGAAGAAGTTCATTATTGACAAGCCTTAACTTTGGTTTCAAAACTTGGGTTTGCGACTTTTTTGGTGGACGTTAATGGAAGTTAATGAAAGATGCTTAAGAAGGACCTTATTTGTTAAATGACCTTGACCCTTATCTACACCAACCAAAGATCCCTTTCGTCTTTGATGTGCTTTTCATGCTCCATCCTCAACACCCTGAGTCTTCCCGTCTGCCTGGTCCTTCGGTCTGATTTAATGACAATCACTTTCTTTACATCTTTGGTTTACATCCTTTCAAAACCACAGCGTTGTTTCATTCTGTTATATTTGGGGGAGTTTTCCCAGCCCTTCCCTTCCCCACAGCCATGGCTGAGCCCAGCCAGCCTGCCTGGTAGACGTCAGGGCAGCCCCCCTCGAGCCGCCCCTAGGACAGTAAAAGTGCAGCCCGGCTGGCTTAGGGTGGGCCCGGCCTCTGCCCCCAGCTTCCGAGGCTGACATCTGCTGTAGACAGCAGAGCCTCACCCCTCCCTCTGACAAGTGTGGCGGAATTTGCCCCCATTGTGTCACAGGTTCTCATCCTGTCTCCATTCCTTCCTCACTGGCCCCGGCTTTCTGAGCTTCTGTTCTGCCCTGAGATTGCCCAGCTGTGGTCTGCCCTTAGGAAGTCACCAGGGACCCTGAGGCACCTTTCTTCCTGGGGTAGCGCTTGGCGAACCTCGTAGGGTTCTGTCATCTCTATCAGAAGCTCCCCCACCTCCGTGGTCCCACCTCACAGTTCCTCTTGCCGCCTTCCCTCCTCTTGTTGAGAGTTCCTCCGCCCTCTCTCCTGAGTCTGGGTGGGTTCCTGTGCAGCCCCGCCTCTAATCACTTAGGTTTCGGGGATGAGGCCTCTGCTCCGGACGTTCAGGCCGGCCCACCTTCCCACAGACGGCAGAGAGAGGCCAGCTCTTCCACGCTCTCTGTCCGAGGACCCACGTTTGGGGTCCTCCCTCCATGTGGGAATCTTGTACTGTGGGTTCCTTTTTGTATCACTCCTGCTATCAGCTAACTTCCTGCCTGTTGATAAACCAGTGGCTGCTTCTCAACCACTTCAGCTGCTAGAATGTGGACGTAGTCCTACAACTGAAAGACCCATGGCCGATTTCCCGGAAGCCACTGGAATCCTCCTCTTGGCTTCCCTGCTGCCCTCTGGGCCCCCTGACGCTTCCTCCGTACCATTTAGCCGACTTTCCTCATCCCTCAGGCTGGGGTCTCCATCTTTCGCACTAATTCTAGAACGTTATCTGGTTCTCTCTCTGCATCCGTTACCTTGCTGGTTGGCAGTTATGAGCAAACAGCCCGCTTTCTGAACCTCCCTGGGTCCCTTGCAGCCCACACACTGGCTGATTTGGTAGTTCTGCTAAAGTTACATTGGCCTGAACATAACTGCTGATACTAAATACGAATTAATTGGCTTTTCCCTTTAGATTCTAAAGGGAACCCACGAAGATTCTGTAAGGACGGAGTCTATTTATTCTATTTCCCGCTTAGTCTTAAAACACTTGAAATGTTATTTACACACAAGTGATGTAGAATAGATCCTTTTGTAACATACAGTTTCAACTTAATAAATATGTCTGTGGCGACAAGGGGGCTCATTAAAAAAATGCATGAGGGGTC